TACCCTCGCAGCGGAGGGCGCACCCCGCAGCCCTCTCTTGCTCTTCCCTCTGTGGCTCTACCCCTCCCTGCAAACCTTAGTGTTAATCTTCACTCTGCCCTCCGCCCCCAGATTAGGGGCGCTGCCCCCCTTTGTGTGCCCAAGGGCCCGAGGCGAAAGCCCTGGAAGGCTGCCGGCCTTCCAAGCAGCTGAGGTGGGGAGGGCGGCAAGGGGCTCGGGGGAGGAAACACAAAAGGGGGAGGGATCCCGGCTGCAGCTGTCCCGCGAGGGGCCAGGACAAAGGGCCTGCTGGCAGGACGCCCCGGGCCGTTTTCATGCTTGTTGGGATTAGACGCAGGAAACGTCGCTGGCAATCGTGCGGATCAGCAGTCCGGGGCGCGCCGGCGCGTGGGGCGGGCTCGGCCCCGCCCGGCCCCCGCTTTGTGAGGAGCCCCGGTCCGCGCGACTCCGAGGAGGCCGGCCCTTTGTCTGCGCCTTTCGGGGGGCCGAGCCCCGCCCGGAGACCGCTGAGCACCAGCTGAGCGCCGGCCTCCAGCCCTCTCCTTAGCGGGCGTGGAGCACTGCAGCTCCACCTTGCGCTCCCGCGTGAGGTCAGGGTTACAGCCTCCCGCCCGGAACCCCTCGGACTGCTCCGGCCCCACAGCCCGAGACCTCTTCCATCCCTGGTGGGTGGGGGATGCGGGCCTTTGGGGGTCCTAGCCCCTCCCCCGGCCCTGACCGCCGCCACCGCCCTCAGAATGGATCGATGAGAGGACGGTCGATTTCCTAGCCGAGGGGTTTGAGGAGAGGAGCGGAGACGGGACCAGGAGCCCTCAGGAGAGGAGAAGGAGACACTTTTCTGGCTGTCCCGTGCTGGGGCCGGGAGAATCTCAAGGGGCTGCTGGGATGTGAAAACCTGCCCAGGCTAGGTCGTATTTCCGAGAGGGGTGAGGGAGAGGAGTGTGCATCTGTGCGCGTGAGCGCTTGTGTGTGCCCGTGCACACAGGCATAGGTGTGGTGTCCGGCGCCCCTGTCTGTGGGTGTCTGGTGGGTATGGGCATGCACATGAGTGTGGCTTTGACCCTGGCTCAGACCCGAGAGCACCTCCGACTCATGCTCCTCTTCTCACCACCAGCTTCCATTAAACTCATGGGTCTGGGACTAGAGGCCCTTTAGCAACGACTTTTAACATACAGTGCAACTGCCCAAGGGCATCTCCTACCCCTGATGACCTCCCCCTCCTCTCCTAGTAGGATAATAACATTTATGGACTACTATCTATGTGCCAGGCTGAGGTCTGAGTCTCTCTATATGACCAAACTCTCACGTAACCCTATGGGAGAAGTACCAACTGCCCCCAAGACATTTGGGTCCAGCCTGCACAAGAAATCATTATCTTCTATTGCCTCAACTTCAACTCATTCTCTAGGCTCCTATTCCTCCAGGAAGCCTTCCTTGATCAGGTGATCTCGTTGCCTCCTCTGCCTATCACCTGGTCAGGCTGTGATTAGAAGACACCAAGACTGGGTTTTGGGTGAGGCTTGTAGGAAACAGGCTGGTAGACAGGCCACAGGCTGCCACCAGGGGGCATTCAATCTACACAGAACCCTGATGGTCCAGGCCCCAGGCTGGGGAGCCCACCGCCCACACTCTGAAGCCTCCATATCCCCCTAACTCTTTCTCTTCTTCCTCAGTTCCCAGTTCACACCCTGCATCCCAGACTTTAAGCCATCCCTTCTGGCCATGCTTGATGGAACCGACCTATGTGGGGTCTCTGGAGAGAAGGTTTTCCAAGGACCCAGCCCTTTCTCTCCCAGGAGGACCCAGCCCTGCATGTTGAGGCCCTGCTGTGTACCCTGCCCCTGTGGGTGTCTGGTTATCAGCCCTAGCCTCATTCCTCATTCCTCCTACCAAGCAAGACACCTCAGGTAGCCCCAGACAGCTGAGTTAGACTTCCCTACTCCTGGTCATGGGATTTCATTCTGGTGGGAAGGGAAGGTAGCTAACCCTTGTTCTAACTAATCCCCTGTTTAGCACAGGAACCTTCCCTACTCCCCTTGCTGTACCAGGGACTGAAAAATCCCCACCCAGTAACTTTAAAACAACTTCCCAAGTTACCAAGTCTCAGGCAGAGATCTGCACAGAGGGCTAGGACCAGCTCCCCCTCTCCTAGACTCAGAGCGACCTGTGTAATAATCTTTTAGATAGAGGTTTCATCTACCACTGCAGACCAGACCCACTCAAGGGCTGGGGCAGGCTCTGCAGGGCCTTGAGTGGAGGGGCCCAATCTGTTTTAATGCATAAAATGCATCTTCAGGTCTATGTCCTCATTCAAACCGTACAGTTACCACAGGTAGAGGCAGTCTAGACAGTCCTGGAACAGGTGTGCCTCACACAGAAAGTACAGCAGTAGCCTCGGCCCTTTCCACAATCAGGCCCGATGGCCAGCGTACCTGACAGGAAATGGCAATTCTTGGCTGGGTTGGTTCATCCACTGGGGTCCTGCCTTAGTTTCCCTGTCCCAAATGGCTGGCCTGGCTGTGGCTCTGACTCCCTGCTCTTGCTTGGCTCCTTCCCTTACCCACTTCCCCTCACCCACCATCACACCAGGGGCTGGGCCTGTCCCTAGACCCTGGATGACTGGCAGGGGTCCTGTATGCAAACCATTCACCACATGGGATCCTTGGTCTGGCTTTCATCTTTTTCTCAGCTCAGAAGTCTCTTTTACGGAAAGGAATATTAGTCACATGTAGCTGAAAAAGCTTTGAAAGGCTTTTTTAAAAAGAAGCATTTCATTTTAGATTCAAATTTCTTAAGACCACATTTGATCTTTTTCTATGAAAAAGTGTCTCATAATAATAATAATAATTGCATTATTACAAAAACACTATTGCACTAACAATAAGTGCATTATTACAAAAGCACTATTTATAATAATATTTATAACTCTCATTAATGTAGTTTAGTATGTGCCCAGTATAGCTATAAGTATTTTGCATATTATATATTCATTTAATCCTTGAGACAATGCTGTGAAGTAGTTACTACTATTGTCTCCATGTGAAGATGAGGAAGTTGAGGTACAGAGAAGTTAATTAACTTGCCCAAGGTCACAGAGCCAGAGAGCAATGGTGCTAGCATCCAAATCCAGGGGTCTGGCTTCACCGTCTGTGCCATTAACAGCTGGTGGTGCTCAGGAGAGCCTGCACATTCTGGAAAGGGGACCCCTCTGAAAATCCCCACTCTGGTGGTCTGAGTGCTCAATGTTATCTCCTTGTTAGAAATTTCCATGGTCAAGGTTATTCAAATCTAGCTACAGCCCTTTGTTAGAACAACATCTCTTACTAAATGGAATTTGTCAGAACTGGTTCAATACTGTTTCTGTCTAAATGTCAAATGTAAAGATGACAAGAATTATGAATATCTTAGGTCACTATTTCAGAGAGGGATGCTTTGTGAGGTTTGAAATATATATACCTTGTTGGGGGCACTATAAAAGAGGACATTAGATTTTTCTAAAGTGTTTCAGTGTTGCCCTGGCTGGATAGCTTGGTTGGTTAGAACGGTGTCCCTATATGCCAAGGTTGTGGGTTCAGTCCCTGGTCAGGGCACATACAAGAATCAACCAATGAATGAGTGACAACAAATGAATGCTTCTCTCTCACTCTTTCTCCCTTCCCTTCCCTAAACTAAAAAACTAAAATGCTTCAATTTTTCTAAGTAGAATATGTTTTTTATTTGTGTAATTTTAAAATAATCAATAAAATATTTGATTGATATAATCAATCAAAATATGCCTTCTGTGATAGGCAGCCTCTCAGATGCCCCTGATGCTCCCTGCCTCCTGGTACTTAGACCCCTGGGTAATAGCCTCCCTTCGAGTAACTTACTTCTAACCAAGAGTATCTATCACAACATAGTGGGGAGGACACCTCTGTGCTTAGGTTGCAGAAGTTGTGTTAGTGCTCTAGCACTTTCTCGGCTCGCATGCTTTGATGAACTGAGCTGCCGTGTCGGAAGGGCCCACACGGCCAGAAACTAAATGTGATCTCCAGCTAGCAAACAGCCTTTGAAGAACTGAATGCTCCCAACAGATGAGACCCTGGACCCTGGACTGACTCAGCAGCCTTGACTGAGCCTGGAGAGAGATTCCTGACCTACGGAAATGGTGAGATGACAAATGTGTGTTGTTTTAAGTCACTAAGTTTTAGGGTAATTTTTTATGCAGAAATAGCCAACTAATATACTTTCTTTGTAAAAGTAATGAATTTTTGAGACACCAAATTTTCATGCAAAATAATATAAAATAGAAGACCTAATTTGATTGGCATCAACAAATATCTGAAGTCATGTACTGCAGTGGTCCCCAGCCTTGTTGGCACCAGGGACCGGTTTCGTGGAAGACAGTTTTTCCTTTTTCCACGGAAGGGGGTGGAGCGTAGACCTCAGGCAGTAATGTGAAGGATGGAGAGCAGCAGGATGAAGCTTCGTTCACTTGCCCACCGTTTACCTCCTGCCGTGCAGGCACCCTCCCCCCCGCATCCCCCCTACTGTTCCTAAAAGGCCACAGACCAGGCCCAGGGGTTGAGGACCCCTCACAAACAGTATTATGACACCTGTGTCAGAACCATTTAAGGACCCCCAGTCTTTTGCTGTCAGGCTGCCTTTCTGGGAATCAGTGGCTCTGGAGCAAGGTTGAGAATGTGTTTGTGTGTGTGTAAGGGGAGGGTCCCTCACAATCAATGCCCCCCTTTGCAAGCCCAAAAGTGTCTCAAGACAAGGACAATCTCGCAGAGGCCAAGCCTTCCTCATCAATCTGGAAGGCCCCTGAGAAGAGACCTCTCTACCCTACTGTGAGATGGTCAACCACAGCAGGCTGGATTCCTCCTCCCCAAGGGCTCCCCGCACCCCCACCTCAGCTCAGAGCCCTGCTCAAAAGAGGGGCTAAGATGGTCTGGCAAAGAGGCCACCATATGGCCTGTGTGATAGAAACACAAACTCAAGCATTTCTGGGCCCCAGTTTATTCAACTTGGTTCATGCTCAATATGCAAGAGCTAGACACAAAGTCCCCAGGGTCACTGCTTCAGCCTCCCTCCCCACTGCCCTCACCCATCCATCATTAGGGAGAGAACTCTTTAGGGACCGTCAGAAAGAGCCTCCGCATTTTGCAGGTCAGAAGACTGAGGGCCAGAGGCAGCATCAGTGACCTCCAGGACGTTCCTGGAGGTCACCCAGGAATCCATCAGGGTCTTGTTCACCCATCAGGATCTTGCAACTTAAAGGCTCCCAGAAGCCAGAGAGCTGGGCTACCTTAGTCCTTGGCTGTCGCCAGAACTCACCAGTTCTCTAGTTCACTGAGCTTCTGCTACAGCCTGCCAACATTTAAAGGGCCATTCAGTGATGGGAGGGGGTATGACTCAGCATCCTAAGTTTACAGAGGCAGGATGACACTGCCCCCTGCCCACCCTTGAAAGCAGGGCTGTGGCTCCTCCTGGTGCAGGCAGTCTGATTCCAGGGAAACGAACCAAACACAGTCAACATCCAGCCAGGGCTGCTACGGCAGAGACGCACAGCAAGTAGAGGCACAGAGAGGGAAGTGAGATTTTACCCAACAGCAAACTTAGAAGCACACATTCCTTTTCATCAGAAGCTTACATCGACTTGGTCTGCAAGCGCTCCTTTGCAGAGGAGAGATGATCAGTGGTTTGTTTGGAACTAGTGTTGCAGAATTCCCAAACTCCTGTTCTTCACAAGATCCTACCATCCTCATCTCCCATCCCCATCTCCCATGTGCCCCAGGGGGCAGAGTTCAAGTGTCCATCACCACCCTCAGCTCCCCTCCCTGACACCGATTCCCTCGGGTAAATGACAGCAGGCATCCCTCTTTCCAGGAAGCAGTGAGACCCTGTGGACAAAAGGCTACGGCAGGCCATGGGTAACACAGGGTGTGGATGGATGTCCCACAGGGGGAATGGAATATATATTCGCACACATGTGCCTGCAAATACATATGTTCCTAACATACATTTCCCATGCCTGCAGCTGCACACACGCACCCCTACCTATAGGCCCCCTCACATAAGAACTCACTCTCACACACCTGCCATAAGCCTGCACATTCAAACTCACCCAGAGGTGCACACACATCTTTTGCAGGTGCAGTTGACACTTGAACAATGCAGGGGTTAGCGGTGACAACCCCTGAAATAGTCAAAGCTCCAGGTATAACTTTTGACTCTCCAAAAACTTAACTGCTAATAGCCTGCAGCTGACTAGAAGCTTTATTGATAACATGAACAGTTGACTAACATTTATTTTGTATGTTATATGTATTATATACTGTATTCTTACAATAAAGCTAAAGAAAATGTTATTAAGAAAATTGTAAGAGAAAATACATCTGCAGAACTGTATGTATTTATCGAAAAAAAAACCACATATAAGTGGACCTGTGCAGTTTCAATCTGTGTTGTTCAAGGGCCAACTATAGCCCCTCACTCATGCACATATGCACACACCACTGGGGCCCTGTTCATGCACACACGTACAAATTCACTCCCTCTTAGATACATGTTGTATGTGAGAGGTATGTGTGTAACATACATACATAGATATACGCAGATGGACACACCTGATATGGGCCTGCACATAAGTTAGACTGTGTGTATACACAGCACATGTAAACTGATGCACAGGTGCTAATTCATACATGCCTGGCACATGTTAGCACATGCATGCTCATGTATGCTTACCTGCACTCATACCAGTTAATAATCATGTACTTGTGTTCAACCACATACATGCCTGCAAATATATACATATAGACCCTTGCACCCCAATGGAGGCCTTAGCGCTGGTCCTGGGGCCTGCATGGTGCTGCCCTCTGTTGGAAGCAGCGGATAAGCTCCTTTCGGTTGTCTAGGATGGTGTCAAAGCTCTCCTGCAGGCGGGCCTGCTGGTCAACCAACTGGTGCTGCAGGCCTCGGATCCACTGAAGCAGGGCCAGGCGGCGGTACATCACCAAGTGCACATGGTGCTTCTCCTTCTCCTGCTCTTTGTAGCGCTCTTGAGCCTGCAGCTTTTGCACAGCCTGGGCCACTGAGGGCAGAAGGGAATCTGCAGGGCCAGGGTCTTGAGGGGTCCCACAAGCAGGCTCAGGGCTGCTGCTGGGGCTGTCAATGCTTAGGGAGCTGCTGGCATAGCCATTGTCTTCTAGAGGGGAGCAGACTGTGCCAGCACTACCCATTTTCTCAGGCTCAGCTCTGGGGATCTCTGCCCCCTCTGGCGGGCTGCGGACCTCTCCTTCTGGGAGTCCAGGGGCCTGGAAAGCCTGGTTGTCAGAGGGCAACTGGGCGGAGCTCCTCATCGGGATGGGCTCTACTTGGCCTGGCATCCCACGCCAGTTCTCATTGGCATCCTTGGCTCTTGCCATGAAGTTGGAGTTGCTGTCGGCTTGGAACTCAGGCTGACACACTCCAGGAGGCCGGCCCTCCAGGAACTGGCCCCCCTCAGCCACCCTCGGTTGGATGGCGAACATCTGGTCTGTAACGGGGAAGCAGAAGGATGAGTCACAGTGGGACAGGGTGGGGTGCCCTGGCAGAGTCGAGGCAACCTAGCTGCAGGCACAAGGTGGCAAGCACCAGCCTGGTTGCTCCTGCTCAGCCCCTTTCCCTGCACTCTGGTAACACCTCCCTTCATGGTTTTCCTCCTCCCTCCTCAGTCTCCTGCGCAGGTTTCCCCTCAGCCCCCTGAGGCAGGCTGTCTTCTCATTCCATGCACTTGTGCCTAGATGACCTCATCATCCTCTGCTGTAGCTTCAAGGAACATCATGTGTTGGTGACTCTCAGATCTGCCTGCAGCCAGACCCAACAGCTATCTCACCCTGTGGCCAACCACAGGCTCCTCAAGTCCAAATAAGCTCTCCCTCTGTGCTGGCCTCGGCGAAATGGCCCCACTCTCCATTCAGTCACTCCAGTCAGAAACCTGAGAGCTCCTGGACCGCCCACTCTGCTTCCTTCCCCCATCTCATTGGCCACCGAATTCTGACAATTCTCCCTCTTAAAAACCTCTGTGCTTGTATGAACATACAGGCCATTTCTTACCTGGATTACTGACTGCCACAGCCTTTTTACTCATCTCTCTGCCTCCAGTTACAAATACAAATTTAATTCATCACAGCTCCCTAACCTGCTGCTAAACTGCCACGTGGCCTACAAGGCTGGGCTTCATCTGGCCCCTGCTCACGCCTCCAGACTTGCCTCTTGACACTCTGCTCCCCCAACCCCCCCGCCAGCCGCCACACCAAACCGCTGAGATCTCAGAGATGCACCACTATCCTCCTCACACAGTTCCCTGGGCCTACAACACCCCTCCTCTCCTCTCCTCTCCTCCGAGGTCCTCCCTTCTCCACCTATCAAATTCTTTTGTTATACTTGAAAACAGCTTTAATATCCCCCACCTCTCTAAAGCCTTCCTGATATTCTCCTCCTTGCCCCAATACACACAAGCAAACACAGTTAATGCTGCTTTCTCTGGGCCCACATGCCCTGGGCACACACTGCCTAATTCATGTTTGTTTCTTGTTCCTGGCACATAATTGATGGTCAGTACATGTCTATTCAATTAAAAAAAAAAAAACAAAAAAAAAACCTCTCTTGTAACAGCAGCTTATACCTCTGGCTCCCTAACTAGATGTGGAACTTCTCTGTATGTCCCCTATCCCATTCCCAGGGGCCAGCATGGAGCTGGTCACCAGGCAGGTGTCAGTCCACACCTGCTGGGCTGTGAGTGAGTGGGGGAGAGGGAGGAGGCTGCAGTGGGCCACCCGCGCTCAGGAAGAGCAGGAGGCTACCACTGACTGCCCAGGGCTGGAAGAGCTGGGTTCAGTTCCTTCCTCTGCCCAGGGAGGCCCCTACCCCCTTCCCTCCATACTATTATACTATGTTGTGTCCTGCCCCCAGCTGCTCCATCTTGATGCCCTGGAGGGAGGGTATATAATACTATTCTTTCCTCCTCAACAACCGGCTTCTACCAAAATTAGGGGTTCAACTGACAAGAGGTTTCAACTGACTACATAGTACTAAAATGAGAAAATTCGGGTATCAGTAAGACTGAGGGACGCCAGGGGCCCTCCCCACATGCAGTAGTGGGCAGGCCTCCGAGCTGGGTCAGGGATGTTGTCTGCACAGTCCCTTTACAAGCTACCAACTCCCCAGTACGCAAGGTGCCCGGCGACCCTCCCCCTGCAAATGTTTTCTTTTTCCTAAACTTGGGCGGGGCCGTGAAGGAAGCCGGGATGCGGCAGGGGTGGTGGTACGAATCACGGGGTTCTCAGAGACGGTAAAATGGGAACCCAGACACTCCAGGATCAGGTTTCTCTCGAAACGAATCCGCAATTTGCCGGGGTTCGGGGGTGGGGGGCATCTGCCTCCCTTCCTGCCTAGCCTTGCGGGAGAGGGAGGCTACCCCGAAGACAGGACAGACACCAGGCCTCCCTGACCTCCCCATAGGAGGCAGCCGTGCGGAGGCTGCGCTTTTCCCTCTCGGCCCCCAAAACCCCTGCGGCCGAGCCGCAAACCCTCCCGCTAGGGTCCCACTCACGGCCTGGAGGCGCCCGCCCCGGCGCGGCTTTGGCTCCACCGGCCCCACGGCGGAATCTGGGCCCTCGGGGCTGGGTGAGGGGTCTCTTGGCCTGGGGGTCCGCGCGGGCCCCGGTGTGGTATGCACGGAGCTGCTCGCCCAGCCCGGGGCACCGACTGCGGAGCCGGCGGCGTCTGCGCGCGGGGCGTGGCGGCCTGGCCCACGTGGGCCGGTCGGGTTTTCTGCGGAGCGGCGCGCCGGCCGGCGCCGGGCGGCCTTTCTGCAGTCCCCTTCCGGCCTTCCGCAGCCTTGACGGAGGCCTTGCAGCTCAGGTGACATTTTCAAAACGAAAATCTGATCATGTCGCCACTCTCCCGCCTAAACCCTCAATGGCTTCCCCAATGCCGTGCATCCTTGAGGCGGCAGCCTCAGGGCTCCGAGCACCCTGCCCCGAGCTCTCCCGCTGCCTTGGCGCTCCAGCCTGGCGCTCCTTGCGGCCACGCTGCTTTTGCACACATTGTTCCCTCTGCCTAACAGTCTCTTCCCCCTTTATATCATCCCTGGACACTTTCTTCATAGCATCTATCACTGTTAGTTTGTTTTTTAAGAGAGAAAAACAAGAGAAAAACATTTATGCTTTTTTTTTGTAGAAGAGCTTATTTATTTTTAGAGGGGGTGGGAAGGAAGGGAGAGAAGGGGCAAAGCATCAATGTGTGGTTGCCTGTCACATGTCCCCTACTGGGGACCTGGCCCACAACCCAGGCATGTGCCCTGACTGGGAATCGAACCAGTGACTTGTTGGTTCGCAGGCCAGCAGGCAATCTACTGAACCACATCAGGGAGCCAGGCAGAGCTCGTTGGTTGTTTCTTATACGTGCCCTGACCAGACATCAAAACCAGAACATTAGCTTATTGGGATGACAGAGCTCTAACCAACTGAACTACCTGGTCAGGCTGACATTATGTATTCATTTTGCGTTTATTAAAGTCACTTAGGGAGGCTAGGCTTTTAAGAGAAGAAAGAAAATCTGCTCTGGGACAGGCATGGAGCTACTGCCAGGACCAGGTGGCTTCCCACAGGGCAGAGAACACCTCATGGTGCCAGCACAGTGAACTCTTCTGTTTTTACTTACTGAAGCCTGACCCCCTTGCTCCCTCCATGGGGGAAGCATAGGGTTTGGGGCCCCAGTTTGCTATCAAAGAGAACAGAGAAATCGCTGAATTTAATGATAAAACAAAGAAGCACTGACTGGTATTACATTAAAGCTTCTTAAAATAAGTTACACAGAAAGACTAGGACAAATTTCGCCCTCAGGGCACATGAGTTTCCACGAGGTCTCTTCCATACCCTGGTTCTACTGAGCAAGCTAATCAACTGGTTACGCCTTTCTCATGTACCCCCCCTTTTCAAAACTAAAATAACATGAATTCATCATTGAATCCTAATACATTTTTAAAAATATTTTATGTACTTCTTTTTAGAGCGAGGGGAAAGGAGGGAGAAAGGGAGGGAGAGAAACATCTATGTGTGAGAGATACATGAATCGGTTGCCTCTGACAAGCCCCCAGCTGGGGACCTGGCCCACAACCCAGGCCTGTGCCCTCACTGGGAACTGAACTGGAGACCTTTCGGTTTGCAGGTTGGCACTCAATCCACTGAGCCACACTAGGCAGGATTGAATCATAATACATTTAAAATACCTTGTCTTTCCTTCATCCCCTTCTTTTGCTTTTTTAAAAAAAAGATTTTATTGATTTATTTTCAGGGAGAGGGGAATGGAGGAAGAAAGGGAGGGAGGGAAACAATCAATTTGAGAGAGAACTGTCACACCTCCAACCAGGAACCTGGCCCACAACCCAGGCATGGCCCTAACTGGGAATCGAACCAGCAACCTTTCAGTTCACAGGCCAGCACTCAGTCCACTGACCCACACCAGCCAGGGCTGCTTGCTTTTTTTTTAAAGTAAATATTTGTAAAATTTATATATATATAAATTCCCTTCTCTCCACCCAACCCCAGCCATCCCCACCTCCCTCCCCTGATTCCACCCGCCCTTGGTTTTGTCCATGTGTCCTTTATAGTTGTTCCTGACACCTGTCACCCTTCCCCCCCCCCCCCGCCCCATTAACTGCCCCTACCCATCTCTCCTCTGGTTACTGTCTGTTTGCTCTTAATTTCAATGTCTCTGATTATATTTTGCTTGCTTGTTTGTTTTGTTCATTAGGTTCCACTTAAAGGAGAGATCACATGGTATTTGTCTTTCACCACCTGGCTTATTTCACTTAGCATAATCCTCTCCTGGTTCCAACCAGGCTGTTGCAAAGGGTAGGGGCTCCTTCTTTCTTTCTGCTGCTTTTTGTTATTGTTGTTTGTTTGTTTGTTTAATGAGGAAGAATTTAAGTCTGTGATTTCCATGCTGGGGCATCCTCTTTCAGTTTCAACTCAATTCCAATTTACCATTCTGCAACCTAGAGACTAAATACAAATTAAATCACACCAACCAATCCTACATACAAAAATAAGGGAACTGGAAGAGGAAAAATGCCATTTTATGATTATGACAACTCCTATTTTAAGAGGGAAAAGGAAATAAAGGGAGAAGGCAAAAGTAATTCAAACTTGGGATACCCTCCCAGCTTGGAATATACAGGTGGAGACCTCAGCCCCAATTCTGTTGTACATCAGGTCCCGGGCTAAATTACTCTTCCTTTTCCCTTTATCTACTGCAAGTTGCCCATGCCACAGAGTTTTCTTATTTATGAGGTGACCCAAATCCTCACTTCTAAAGGCACTGAGCTCTGGTGGCCTGGAGTTATGCAGATCTTCCCATGCCATTCAGCCATAATGCCATCCGATTGTTTGGTGGGCCCAGAACAGCTCCTCCCCACCGTTCCTTCAGCTCTGTCTCCCCCAGCTCTCACCACGGGGATTAAACAGGAGCCTGCTGAGTCCAAGGATAAGACAGCCCGCTCCAGGTGAGTCAGTCAGAGTTCTTCTCTGGGGCTTTCTGAAATAAAATTAAAGGAAGACAAAGCAGGGAAGACACAAGCCCAGGGCTATAGCAATCACATTTCTTGGCGAGTAGAAGGTTGTTTGCAGTAGGAGAAAATGATGCCGACACACAGAAGCAGAGACAGAAAACAGCGTCCTGGTGAGGTTCCAGTCCCCGTTTCCTGAGGCCTTTGTAAACCTTCCAAGAAGGCCCTCGTTTTGCCAAGCCTAACTTGAGTGGAATTTCTTTCACTGACGATCAAAAGAACCATGATTAACAAAGCACCCCTGGGTCCCACTCATGCACCTCTCAGTCCTCATTCAATAGTAGCAACTCCATTTCCCCTTGATGGCCACTATCGGTCCAGCCTGCATCAATGCAGTGGAACCATCCTCGTGTTCCCTGGTTGGAAACATTCTTCCCTAGATGCCGAAACCCCCTGAGCTGCAGAACCTAGAATGTCAGAGTGCGCATGAGAAGGCAACCAGCTGACATTTCTCTTCCTCTCTTTTTCTCTCTCCCACTCTCCAAAAGCAATGAAAAAAGTATTTTTGGGTGAGGATAAAAAAATAAGATAAATAACATGATACCCATTCAGTCCAGTGAATTCCAAGGGCACCAGGCTGCAGCCTCTCTTTTCTTTTTCATTGTCTATTCACTTTAAAGAATATGTTTATTAATTTGAGGGAGAAAGAGAAACATCGGTGTGAGAGAGAGAAACATCGATTGGTTACCTTCTGCGCATATCCTGACCTGACCAGGGATCAAACCCACAACCTAGGTATGTGCTCTGACTGGGAATCGAACCTGCAACCTTTTGGTGTACGGGATGATGCTCCAACCAACTGAGCCACCTGGCTAGGGCTAGCACCAGCCTCTTTTCTTAGTCAAGGGCAATGTTGTATGGGATACTTTAGCATTGTATAATTAATGCAGTAAATACTCAAATAATGATTCCCGCCCACTCCATAATATTCAGGGAGCTGGGAACCTGGAGAACAAAAAAGCCCAGGAAAGCAGAGGCATCCGTGTTTATATGACCACAGAAAAGCAAATGTATAGATGTCTCTTATTCCTTTGCCAGAAGCATTCTCAGTAAGGATACCAGGGAATCAGTCACCCTGGGTGAAGGGGTACCTGTAGCTACTAGATTGAAGGGATTTAATTGGCAGGGACACTGAAGTCACCAGAGATGGTCGATATCAGCCTGAACAGGGCTCTGCAGCAGGCCAGCCCATCATAAAGGTCCAGCAGTGGGCATTGAGTAGATACCCTGTCAAGCAAGCAGATGTCAAAGCCAGGGGAGGCTGGCAATAAGTAGCCAACTCCGGGCCCTGGGGGCCTGGGTGTCGGGCAATGAGACAAGGGAAGATGAAAAGGATTTCTACTCCAGTAAATAGGACAGGCATGAGTTCCTCCATAGCAGATAATTTTTCAATGTCACTATTCCCAGGAAGAAAGTGGTAGGTACCATCAAGGTGTTTCAACACCAAGGACCTGCCCCTTCCCATCCATTCATTCACATCCAGCACACAGCTATGGCGTGCTTACTCTCTGCCCAGTCCTGTGCTGGGGATTCAGGGCAGAATCAGAACTGGTGGTGGCCTTGGGAAGCTCCCTGTGTAAATAGGGAAACAAAAAAGAGTGGACTAGACAATGTGACAGGCCCTGCAACAGGGCTGGAAGGAAAAGTAATGAGCACAAAATAGGGTGGGGAAGGCCGTACAGAGGTGGTATTTGAGCCCGGCTTCAAAGGATGAGTAAGAAAAAGCAGAGGGCCGAGGAGACTGTGTGTGGTGTGTGTGTGTCGAGACAATACAGGCAAGGCCAGTGTGACTGGTATGGGGGGTGGGGGGGCAACAGAGGCAGGAGATGAAGCTGAAGGATAAAGTGGACCCAGAGGTGAAAGGTGCTGATCACCATGCCCAGGAGCTGGGGGTAGCAGGGAAAGAACAGGGGTCCCCTAAATGTTCCACACGAGAACAAAGCACAAGCTCCCAGTCCTGTAGTTCCAGCCACATTGCTACCTGCTTTATTCTTCAAATCATTTAAACCTTTTTAGGTTAAGTAAAAACAATATGCCTTGAACATTGTTAAAGAACATGATATGGTGAACAGCCTTAGTTGGGCTCCCAGGACCAGGCACAGCCCTGCAGGACCTTTGATGGACCAGAGAGCCCTGA